GAAACATCTGAGATCTTTCTTTCTCACTCGCTCAGTCTTTGTCGGTGTATTTAGTATTAAAGGCCATTTCTTTTATTTTTTGTCATCTCTCAAGTTTTTTTTTTGGGAAGTTTTGGTAGGTTTTTTTATTACTTTGAAGTGCATAAAAGATTATATAATTGGATAAATTTACTTTTTAATTTTTTTAATATTTAAAACTAAATGTAAAAATTTTATTAGAAAAATTAAATTTAGATTTAACATTACTTCTGGGAGCATAAAAAACTATATAATTGTATATTGTATTTCTTAATTTTTGAATAATTAATACTAAATGTGAAAATTACATTAGATAGAAATACAAAATTCAAACACTGAAAAAGATAAATATTTCTTGTAGCGACCTTATATTTTATTTTCACTATGTTTGGATTGATAATGCATGGATGTTGTTTATATTTTTTAGAATTTTCATGATTTTTTAAAAAAATTTTGGGCTTTCTATCTAGTTTTTTGTGCCTATCGGCTAATACCACACCGGGACGCAGCGACAGATGTGTATTAGTGTCCTTTGAGTTGACAATCAATATCGCAACCTTGAACCATNTTTTGGGCTTTCTATCTAGTTTTTTGTGCCTATCGGCTAATACCACACCGGGACGCAGTGACAGATGTGTATTAGTGTCCTTTGAGTTGACAATCAATATCGCAACCTTGAACCATGAGCTCCACCCTTCTTTTCACTTAACTTCAAAGATATAACTTTGGACCGGTCAATTCATCCCGTTGAAAATGCATGGTTTATCTAAATTTAAAGAAAACGAAAAAATCTAAGGGGAACATATGTGTCATTTTGAACGAAATTTAGTGCTTGTAGTAGTATAAACTCCATTCCCATGCCTAACTGTAATTTCACTTGCATATGTGGTTTAAAGGCTGCATATTAGTCTGCTCCTTATTAGACCAACTCAATATCTGTACAAATAAAGGCACAATCTGACTCTCTCTCTGACACACAGACACAGACACAAACACAAATACACATTCACACAGTAGTGGGAAATTGATGATGTGGTTACTCTTTAAATTTATATTTTGTGTTCAATTCACAAACTCTTTTTACTTATTGAAATGCATTGTTCTCACATTTCTTAGTAACATTTTGGTGACTTCATTTTCATTTTTAGCTGTGGAGGCTGATTACAAACTTCTTTTTCCTTGGCCCATTCTCTATCAATTTTGGGATTCGCCTCTTGATGATGTAAGTGCTCCGTAAAACTTATTTCAAGAGAGAAGAAAATGAATCAACTATTGCCAAAAATTTTGATCAACACCAGTGAGGTGTTGGTTTGAACACCAGAACACTCTATGGAAAATATTATTGTGAAACACAACATGGGAGTTAAGGTTCGTATGGTCTTACTCTTGTTTCTTCTTGATGTTACAGAGCAAGATATGGAGTCCAACTGGAGACTGGACCGTTTCAAAGACGTACAGCAGATTTCTTGTGGATGATCATATTTGGTGCCATGTCCTTATTGGTGTGTGAGATTATCTTTTCTCTTGTTCTGCTTTGTGGTTTGTTCTTTACAAGTGATCTTGTTGCTTTAAATAGATTGATAGATGCCACACTCTATGGGGTGGAGTCGGTGGACCGTCCGAAGGTCATGTGATCAGCGACTTTTCAAAGTTTTATTCTACAATGTATCTGCCCCCCCATTTTTTTTCTTCCCTCCTCTCCTTGTNTTAAATAGATTGATAGATGCCACACTCTATGGGGTGGAGTCGGTGGACTGTCCGAAGGTCATGTGATCAGCGACTTTTCAAAGTTTTATTCTACAATGTATCTGCCCCCCCATTTTTTTTCTTCCCTCCTCTCCTTGTCTCTCCTCTTTTCCTCCTCAAAGTACGGTGCAGCATGACCTGAGCTTGAGCAGTCCTCTCACTCAAGTGACTTTCTGATTTTTAGACATTTCTATTTGGTTGATTGTCCCACTTGCATACTTAGGTATTATCAGCCATCCCCTGGTTCCAGTCTGACTTTTTGGGGATATCAATGGTTNCTCAAAGTACGGTGCAGCATGACCTGAGCTTGAGCAGTCCTCTCACTTAAGTGACTTTCTGATTTTTAGACATTTCTATTTGGTTGATTGTCCCACTTGCATACTTAGGTATTATCAGCCATCCCCTGGTTCCAGTCTGACTTTTTGGGGATATCAATGGTTTTCATGCTTCTCTATGTATGGAGTAGAGAATTTCCAAATGCCAATATCAACATATATGGCCTTGTGACCCTTAAGGTATGTTGATCCTCTTTTTCTTTTTTTCTTTTTTGAGTCTGAAATCTAATGGAAGTGGTGTTTGCATTTGTATTTAGGCTCTCTGGGTTTGGGGGCATAATATCTGATACATGCTACATGCTTGTTTTCTAACTTGCAGGCATTCTATTTACCATGGGCCATGCTTGCTTTGGATGTAATTTTTGGCTCACCAATTATGCCAGATCTGTTGGGAATCATTGCTGGACACCTCTATTACTTTTTAAGCGTGTTGCATCCGCTTGCTGGTGGAAAGAACAGACTAAAAACGCCAATGTGGCTGTATCCTTTTGCCTTTTTCTCAGGATGACATGCACATGTTGCTTTTCGAAAATTTTGGCTGCTTTGCTTATTGAAACACCATTATGAATCTCTCTTTGGGGGGGGCTTCTAACACCTGCCTTTCTATTTTTCGTGGAAGTAGAATTATCAGCTGATGCTCCACTTGCTGGAAGTTTTAAATTTTCTTAACAGCCATTACAGACATAAGCTAGTTGCAAGGTGGGGAATAGGAGCTCCAATGATCAATCATGCACAGCCTGACAGGGCTACTGGGGCAGCTTTCAGAGGAAGATCTTATCGTGTTGGTGGATGACACTGCTGTTGTCGCTCCAGTGCGGGATTCAGAGATTCTAGACAATGCTGCTAACAATAGAAGCAAATTTTCTGGGGATGGCACTGTAGATTGAATGCCCCATTTTGTTATTGTAGTGGCTGAAGTAGATGTTTTTTCTCTCCTTTGCCATCTCGACATTGTTAAAACGTTATATTCTGATTTTTCTGAGGAAATTTTACCAGCCAAGAACTGAAGAGGAAAATGTCTGAACAAGCAGATTATTTTATGTCAGAACAATTTGTAGAGGCATTTCATTTTGTTTGCAATCTCCCACGTTGGGTCAAATGTAATAACGATGCAGGTGCAGCTATTCCAATTCTCTGCGACTATCGTGGGAAAATACGTTGACAATCATCATTTATGCTGTACAATGATAACCAATGAGTGGAAATTAATAGCTCTATTAAGTATAGAGTTATTNGCGTGCATGAGGACTATCGTGAGAAAATACGTTGACAATCATCATTTATGCTGTACAATGATAACCAATGAGTGGAAATTAATAGCTCTATTAAGTATAGAGTTATTCATTGTTTTTTTTTTTNGACTATCGTGGGAAAATACGTTGACAATCATCATTTATGCTGTACAATGATAACCAATGAGTGGAAATTAATAGCTCTATTAAGTATAGAGTTATTCATTGTTTTTTTTTTTTATATATATATATAAATTCTGTTATCTATCCTTTAACTTATGATTACAATGCAACTTTTGGATGCACATAATTTTATAAAAATTAAATCTGTTTATTAAACTCGGGAATAAATATGGACATTGCTCTAAAATCTAAGTACTCATTGCCATGAGTAAAAGCAACAAAAAGAACAAATTATACATATAACCTTCAATATACAATCTTTGTTAATTAAGTTATTGATTTTTTTTTTTTGTGTCAATTGAGTTCTTATTAATTGTATCAAGAGCTTTTGTCAGAGAGAGTGATGGCTNCCTTCAATATACAATCTTTGTGTTAATTAAGTAATTGAGTTTTTTTTTTTGTGTCAATTGAGTTCTTAAGCTTTTTAATTGTATCAAGAGCTTTTGTCAGAGAGAGTGATGGCTCACTGTGACATAAACCGTTAGAATAAATTACACATATGACCTTTAAATTACGATTTTTATATTAATTAAGTTTATGAATTTTTTTTTGTTTCAATTAAGCCTCTAAATTTTTTAATTGTATNGAGAGAGTGATGGCTCACTGTGACATACACCGTTAGAATAAATTACACATATGACCTTTAAATTACGATTTTTATATTAATTAAGTTTATGAATTTTTTTTTGTTTCAATTAAGCCTCTAAATTTTTTAATTGTATCAATTAAACTTTTTTTTTTTTGTCATATAGTCATATGAGTAGAACATTCTAACAAATGTAGACAAAAATATTCAATTGACACAAATTAGTTAAATGAGTTAATTTAAGTTTCCATCCTTATAATTTTTCATCCTCTCACTTTTCGATTGTACCAAACGGAGCATAAAGANTGTTTCAATTAAGCCTATAAATTTTTTAATTGTATCAATTAAACTTTTTTTTTTTTGTCATATAGTCACATGAGTAGAACATTCTAACAAATGTAGACAAAAATATTCAATTGACACAAATTAGTTAAATGAGTTAATTTAAGTTTTCATCCTTATAATTTTTCATCCTCTCACTTTTCGATTGTACCAAACGGAGCATAAAGAATTAATTGATATAAAAAAATTTAAGAACTTAATTGATAGAAAATTCATAATTTAAGTGACATATACCAAATTTACTCTAATTTCTACGAAGACTCCGTTATGTTATGTCCTTAAATAAAGGCGGAGCCTTGAATGGCGCTAATTTAATCGGGTTGAACGAACGGTCCAGAGAGCATCATCACCATTATTCATTCATCCAATCAGCTCCTCCTCCTTTCAAAAAACAGAAACCAAAGAAGAAGGAAAGGAAGAAGGAACACAGCAAAACCACCACACACAGAAAAGGTACAGACATTGCATCGGAGAGAAAGAGAGATAGAGANCACAGCATAACCACCACACACAGAAAAGGTACAGACATTGCATCGGAGAGAAAGAGAGATAGAGAGAATGTCGTGGCAAGCGTACGTCGACGACCACTTGTTGTGTGACATAGACGGCCTAGGCCTGCATCTCTCCGCCGCTGCCATCATCGGCCAGGACGGCAGTGTCTGGGCTCAGAGCTCTTCCTTCCCTCAGGTCTCTCTCTCTCTACACACACACACACACACACACACACATATATATGTATGTATTCGGGATTATGTTGTTGATTATATTTCTATCGCTTCGATCTGTGAAATGGATACCATACATTTGATGTGATCTTTTACAATAGTGTGAATTCATTCTGATTTGGTTGTTTCGTTGAGAAATTTGTTGCGATCGAGTTCTATGTTCCGCACATATTGAATCGTTTGTTAGGATTATTTGTGTATTTTATTGGCTTGATTCGCGACTGAATGACAATGCGGTTGTATGATCATTTTGTCTTTGTTTGACTATGTCGCCGATTGAGTGGAAGAATAGAATTATTTGGAAAAATAATAATAAAAATGGATGCTTGAATTGGATTGTATTGATTCTTGCGCATTGATGATTTCGGGAAACTGTTCTTCCTTTTAATTGCCTTGTTTGAATGTGAAAATGAATAGTATGGCTGCATCCATTATAGATATTTGTTTTTATTATGTGGAGTTTGCATTGTATGAGTGAATGGATGGAGTTTGTGTATTTCCTCAACGTCCCTATAAATGGACCCATGACCTATTAGAATAAATGAATTGGTCCATGGTTCATTCTGCCATCTCGCCTAATGAATCAATAGAATTCGTTTCAACTGCGTTCATAGTTTCTGTCAATCAGGAATTTTATCACCACCTTCACTGGATTTCTTTCTCTTTCAGTAAACAAAATCTTATAGCTTTGCTGTTATACTCTCTTTCTCTCTGTCTCTCAACAGGGAGAAAGGTTAAAGGGATATTTGCCCTTTTTAATATGTTTTGAAACTATTAAGATGATTATATCAGAGCATGGTTATATCAATGCCATCTGGTATATTTCAATTTTAATTGCTAACTTTGACTAATTATTGTCACTCTGTTTGGTTTCTTTTTCTGGATGCAGTTTAAGCCTGAGGAGATCAATGGCATCATAACTGATTTCAATGAACCAGGTCACCTTGCCCCTACAGGCTTACACCTTGGCGGGGTAAAGTATATGGTAATCCAAGGAGAGCCTGGAGCTGTCATTCGTGGGAAAAAGGTCCTGTTAATGTTCTTTATGTTCCTCAACATCTTTCTTATGCATAATAATTCCCCCATTTTGATAATGCACATAGCTTAACTCAATAAAGTTTCTAGCCAAGTATTTTCTTGCGATTGGATGAATCCTTCTCTGCCACTAGGATTCATGCATAGTGCTCTTGTAATCATAAATCTAAAGATATTTGTGCATGCAGTTTGATATTGATCCTTTTATATACACATGGGATTTTGACAAAGCTTCCCTTTATGGAAGTGTGTTATTGTCCCACAATTACATACATAGAATCTGGACAACCACGCATAGAATCTGTGTGTGTGTGTGTGTGTGTGCGCAAAAGTCTCCTGGCACTAAATTTGTTCCCCTTGAGCCAATGGAAGTGGCTTGAATTTTGTTGGTGCATCTGGTAAGATGTGGTCTAGCACACAAGCAGCCACTTTTCAAATTTATTATTCTCACTGGACCAATGCACAAATGGTGGATCACCTTGTTACCATTTTTCGTGAGAACAACAAATGGGGGATTCGAATTCAAGTTCCTGGCCCTTTCCTAGTTAACTTTATATAATATCTTTCAGTTTAACATTGGAGAAATACAGAGATTCGTGTTGGCTGAAATGACTATTTATTTTTGTGTCATGAGCTGTGGCTTGTTAATAATATAAGGTCTTGTGTTGGTTTGGCAGGGATCGGGAGGTGTCACTATTAAGAAGACTAGTCAAGCTCTAGTGTTCGGCCTCTATGAGGAGCCTGTGACCCCTGGACAGTGCAACATGGTTGTTGAGAGGTTGGGAGATTACCTTGTTGATCAGGGTCTGTAGGCCTCGGCCTGTCATGATTCTATATATAGTACCTCTTCCTAGGAGATGTTAATTTTCTTCCTCGTTTCTGCTTCTAAGTTTATACCACTTCCTCCAAAGCCATGAACTAGACATGGATTCGTTGTAGCCAATAACCATGCAAGGCCCTTACAGCAGTTAGTGCTTTAGGGTCATTTTGATTGCATTGCATCATTTATTCTCGGTCTATGTTTATTATGTATAAACCATGGGCGGTTTCTCTACTTTTTATTTGTGTTGGCATTGAAGTATCAATTTTTATACGAATATATATGTCCATGGCTAATGAAATAGAATATAATTAAAGAAAAGATACAGCTGTCACTGTGTATGTGTGAGTTTGTGTGCGTGAGTGAGAGAGAGAGAGAGAGAGAGAGGGTGAGTCCGGTCACACGATCATAGATGATGAGAGACGGTGATATCATGTCATCATTGTCTTGTGAAGAGTTATCATTCAATAACAAACTTAGTAAGCAAGATGAACCCCAACTCTTTGCATAGTAGTTATTTTCTTATATGTTTTTTTTTGGTTATTTTTCTTATATGGATTGGGTAGTGGGATTCATGTGATTTCATATAGCTTTGTTATTAAACAGTGACGGTTATATTAAATATTTTCTCCTCACTTTTTTGGAAAATAAGAAAAAATTTGACCCTAAATAGAAAATTGTAATAAAAGGGTAATTTCATATTTTCCAAATAAATAAATAAATAAATAGATCATCTCAATTTAAGGCCATCACGTTTAATTCACAAAAACTAATGAGACGAATTAATTGAAAAAAATTTAATAGTCTTGAGGCAATTTATTGAAATTAAAACTTGGAGAAGTTGATTTCATCATCACCTAAAGTTGGAGAAAATATTCATTGCAAGGGTGACATCATGTCATCACTACCAAATGGTGTCAAGAACAAATTAGAAGACAACAAATAGATAAAGTGTATCTCACTAATTCTATATGTTACTGATTGGATGTAATAGTTATTAGTAGTTATGAAAATAGTATGGTTCATTTTATCTATTTGTAGTCTTCTAAGAGCATTTTCAATAGATGCTTCAAATATTCAAAATAAGCAAATTTTAGCTACCCAAAGTAAAAAATAGCACTCCAACAGATTATATTCATATACTGTAAAATAGATTTTTGCTACAGTTATGTTCTAAATATAGAGCATCACTATAGCAATATGTAAACATAATATATATTATTTTCTCTCTCTTTCTCTTATTTCTTTCATTCTCTTTCATTCTCCCTTTCACTATTTCCAAAAAATATAATACAAAAGGGATAATAAATAATATTTAAAAGAAGTAATTAAAAATATAGAGAATTTGTTGGAGTGTGTATTAAAAAAATGAGTAGCTAAAATACGAAAAAAATTACTTTTTGGGTAGTTAAAATAGCTACTATTGTTGAAAATACTCTAATTGGATGGTGACACTAAGTGACAGTGATGACATGATGATACCGTTACATTAAATATTTACTCCTAAAGTTGAAGGACAATTTGTAATCAACCCTTTTGTAAATTCTGTAGCTTGTTCAATGAAAATTATAAAACATACAAAAGAAGGAAAAATCTTAATCACACCCCTTCTAGTTTACTATATTTTCAAGAACACCCCTTCTAGTTTATATTTAAACATCACTAACCCCCCCTATTATTAAATTACCATTTCTAACAAAAAAAAATTCATCTAAAATATCAAAAATATCCCTACATAAAATTTTATTAAAATTCGACTTGATTAAAAAAAAATTTCTACATATTAAAATTTGAACCAATTAAAATTCGATTGAAGCTGATTAAATTTTATTTTTTTTAACGTATTAAAATTCGAGTTTATTAAAATTTATTTTTTACGTATTAAAATTTGAGTTGTTTTGAACTCTACCCGAGTTATCAGCACCGATAAAAATTTACTTTTGAGTTGATTAAAATTTATTCTATTATAATACCGATACACGATACGAATAAACCTTGAGTTTTGTATGACTCAGTCAAGTCGTTCAAGTTGTATCCGAGTCAATCATGAGTCATCCAGTTTCAAAATTTTTATTTTAGGTCATATCGCTTGATACCACGTCACGATCAATTTGTCTCAAAATTTTTTGAATCAATGACTGATACCATAATCTTAATACATGTGATGATGAGTTTCAATAGAATTGAATTCACGCGTACATAGAAATGCTTCCACCAGGAGATATGTATACGACTCCAACTAGTTTGTGGGAAGTAAAAGAGATTGAATCCCAATACAGTTCAAATGATAATAGAGATTAGTGATAAATTCAGACGTTTTGAATTTGAATTTTAATAATTTTTTGGGGTCAGGTCATAAAAAATTTATCCCTCATGAATACCTTAATCTCAGCGTGGATAATTTTTTTTTGACTGGATCAAAAAAAAGATTAGTCGAGGCGCGCGTCAACTGACCCGAACATCTCTAACAATTGAACTAAAAAAAAAAAGTAGAAATCACTTTGTATTTGTAACAACTATATATATGACCAATATATATATACTAGCGATATTCCGTGACTAAAGTCACTGTATACTGAATTATTATATTATGCATGCATTGAAATGTGTGTGTGTTGGAATGTGTATATGTATGTGCAGCTGTGTGTTGTGGAGTGTGTGTTGAGTTTTTAAAATTTGGGAGGAAAAGTGTGTTGGATGTGTGAAATTTGGGAGGGGGGAATATACCCTCATAAGTTTAAACACCGATCTAATTTATTTTATATATATATATATATATTTATATATATATTATATTCATTAAAGATAAGAAAACCTTGTTGAGTTGAGGCATCATCTTCTTCCCTCATTTGTTTTGGGAATTGGAAGAGTGCAAAGGGGTAGAATTGAAAATGCTAAAAAGTCCATACAGAAGGAAGATTTTTAGCATTAAATTTTTATGCATTTTCTTTTTTGAAAAAGGGGTGAGGCCAAAAGAGAGCGCGCCTGCCTAGAAACTACTCCGATAGGCTTGGTGGGATTATGAGACTCATGACCGTGCTTGTTACTCCTCAGGAACGAACTTAGCTAGCTAGCATAATAGTTAATTATCGAACCTTAATGTAAACTCTAATACTCGAATTTTTAACTTCAGGGTGAAAAATTCGGCCGGTATCTCACCGAACTACAACACTCAGTGGTCATTTTTATGCATCTTGTTCTTCTAATCAATTTGAATTTTGGGCAAAACAAATGAATTATTGGAGTGAGATTTATGCAAATAAATGTTAGAATTTTATTCTTCCATACTTAACCTGCATTTTTTTAATGCAATGTCCATCTTATGTTTTTATTCATCTTCTTTTGGTCAATTGGATTCTTCCATTGCTTGTCTCTTTGATGTACATGTTCCTGTCCTGAATAGTTGCTTTTATCTCGATGTTATCCTAGATCGAACTTGAAGAAATAGCTGCCATCATGAGCGGCTTTGGTGATCCTGCTCTCATTACTTCAACTGGCTTCTCACTCGATGGCACAAAATACAGTGTTATTAAGGCCGAGTTAGGTCCTTCCATTCTAGGCAAGAAGGTGATGGTGAACCCGCATCCGATCTTTGACTGATTATTTGCTTGAAAGTATGTGCTTGTGTTGTGCTCAAATGTGTGGACACAAACTAGAAAGGGTATCTACTATCTACAGTTTGTATTCATGATACTGGGGCTTCCTTGATGTGGTGGATACTCCGTTCGGCCCTCTATGATGAGCTCAAGCTTTTCGAGTGGACTAAGACCGATCTTCTTTTACTTTAGTCTTGCGCGGCTTATGGTATTTAGGAGCGATAATCGAGCTGAATTCGAGTCAAATGGTTCGACTATTTACACATAAACAAACCTAAAAAAATATTCAAAGTTGACTCGTTTAACAGCCTTAATGACATTAACCTTCGTGGATTCCCGACTTCCTAAATTGGGAGAGTAAAATAAACCTCTCTTTTTTTGGGAGAGCACAATAGTCAAAGAAAGAATAAAATCAAATGATTGTTCTAAGCAGGGGCGGAGATATTAGTGGGTTACGGTGGACTAAAGTCCAGAGTTAAAAAAAAAATGTAAAAATTGGAAGTGAGTCCCCCTAGATGTATTTCTTTAGAGATAAATCTTGCAAGGAAACTTATAAGGGACTAAGTCCATATTCAAAATTAGGGTAAATTGTAAGGGGTACACCAAATTAAACTTATTTGACAAAAAATACACACTAAAAAATGTAGGGTTATTAAGTCTTTAATTTTAATACTTATTTGTATCTAAGTACATAATTTGAATTTGCCTAATTTTTTTGTGACATTTTTGTCCTCCATTGATCCATGTGTATTTTCTTTGAAAAGTGGTGCATTAAATATCTCCTNTTTAATTTTAATACTTATTTGTATCTAAGTACATAATTTGAATTTGCCTAATTTTTTTGTGACATTTTTGTCCTCCATTGATCCATGTGTATTTTCTTTGAAAAGTGGTGCATTAAATATCTCCTAATTTTATAGGAGAACGTTAGTATTTAATGCACCTTAGTATTTAATGTATATATATATATATATATATATACACGTGTAAAGTGTAACATTGAAAGTGTAAAAGGTAAGATTGAAGTGTAAAGTGTTATAGGGTAGTATTGAAAGTAATAATAACAGTGTAGCAATAACAATGTAACAAACTATTTACACAAAGTAATGGAAGACATTACCTAAAGTGTTACACAAATAGAATATATCTGTCTCATCTTACACTAAAAATGTTAATTACTTGAGAAAGTGTGAAAGTGTTACACTTTCAATGTTAACATGTAACATTTTACACTTTTCATTAAGTAAGGTGAGACATAAGGTAATATTTTATACTTTACACTTTTAATGTTACACTTTACACATATATACATACTTGTATATGTATATATATATATTTGTTTATACGTATTTATATATACTTGTTTGTATATATATATATATATATATATTAACAA